CAGCGCTACAGCAACAAAACACTGAGGAGACAAGGGAGTCTCTCGGTTGTCTGGTCAATGGATCACCAGTAGCTTTGACTGACCCGATACTCAAAGACAAAGCCAGGAAGGACTTCCCTAAAGATTTTACAGACTTTGGGTTATTCCCGAAGAAACATACCAGTCTCAATCCAAATAAGATCTACTCACTCGCTGAAGAGGCAACAAAGGAATCAGATCCTGATATATTAGACTGGGTGAGAGAGGAAATGGTTGAGAAACCTCTGGCTGGAAAGGTTGAACAGGAAGAGAATGAATCAAAGTGCCTGATGGAGGAAGAGGGAAGTGTGTTGGAGGACCAAGAGAAAGAGCACATTGAATCTTCACATGAACATTAGATAAACAGATCTTTTGTAACTAAGGATTATCTGAACCTCATATTTAGCTGAAGTGCTTTGTCAGAGATGGAGCAGTGTCCTCTCTTATGCACAGATATGGGCCAGGTTTTGTGAGATGAAATTTGTCTCAGGAAAAGATATTTGGTTGGTTGTTTTTGGAATCAAGAAACTTCCCAGCACTACAGACTCCAAAAACAACCATAAATCTAGAGGAAGAGAAGTGAAGAAAGCCCGGGAAAGCACTCCAACTGACCTGTTAAAGAGTTGTATTTTTTATTTTATTTTAAATATTTATCATCACATTGCAGTATCCTTTCACTCTTTTCATGACAGATTGGAAAATAACAATTGTGTTATTCCCTGAAAAAAGTATTAATGTCCAGAGAAACTGCCTATTAGTGTTGGTATTATTATTATTATTATATAACAATATGCGTAGTGCATATTATGTTATATAATAATAATAATAAAGGCATGAAGTGAGATAAAAAAAATTGTTTTAGTTTTTTTCCAGCAAGGATGCAATCAAAAGTGACAGAAATCTTTTGTAACATTATAATTTCAAAGAAATGCTGTTCTTTGTCATATATCAAACTGTTCTTTGTCATATATCAAAGCATCCTAAAAATGTATCATGGTTTCCACAAAAATATTAAGCAGCACTATTTTTAACATTGATGATGATAATAATAAATGTTCTTTAGCAGCAAATCTGATATTTGGTAGCTGATATCATCAAATATTAGAATGATTTCTGAAGGATCATGTGACACTTAAGACTGGAGTAATGATGCTGACAATTCAGCTTTGATCAAAGGAATAAAATACATTTTATAGTAAAATAGAAAAATATATTTGTAATATTTCACAATATTAATGGTTTTTGGTCAAATAAATGCAGCCTTGGTGAGCATAACAGACTTCTTTCAAAAACATTTAAAAACCTTACCGACTCCAAACTTTTGAACAGCAGTGTATAAATGAATAAGAATAGAGTTTAATCGCATTTGAGCTCCAAATCATCTAGATGTAGTTCCATATGATGCACAGCCTAATTTAAAAAGAATAATGACTATGCAATTTAAGTATATCACTCATAATACAGATGTCTGTGGGTCAGGTTACCAGATTTCAAAGCACTATCCTCAATATTGTGTATAAGTATCTAACTCTTGAAATGTGCTGTGCTCATATAAATTACAGTTTCACCAGACTTTCATGGACCACATGACATTCAGTAATAATTCAGCTGTGGTTATTTCAGAAATAAATAAATAAAACTCTCCTGGCAACATGCTCCAAGTTTCGGATTATTTGTTATCTTTATGTTCTGCTTACAAAGTATTTTTTTTTTCAATTTCATATTAAGCATGGATTGTAAAACTCGCCAATTAATGCTCAATCTGTTGTTAAATTTATACTAATATTATTCTTATTTGAAAAATGAAGACATCATGTACTGGAGTTTTTCTCTATGCACACAATGTCATCTTTAATTTTTCCAGTCTTGAGCGGCTGGTTGCACTACGCTAGCTGATTGATATTACAACAGTCAGAGAATATTTCACTCTCATAATCACTTGCTATTTGTCTTTTGTTGCCATGGCAACACAGTGCCCGCTCTTGTTCTTTAATTAATTGACTTCACATTAGTTCCTTTATCTGAGGGCACACCACGCTGTTTTCAATTATAAGTGAATAAAGTGTCAGCAGATAATTTCTCAGACTTTGTTTCTGTTGAAATGTGCCGCTCCCTGTGATGCTCCCTCCCAGTGTCTTTGAGGTAAATGTGGTATGGTGCAAATTTGTTGTGAATCTATGTTCTAGGAATGTTCCTTTTATGGTTTTATAAATAAGTCCAAGAACAAAAACTGTTAGGCAATATAACAAGAAAAAAATATACAATTATAAAAGATTGCCTGTTTTCCCATGATTTTTTTGTAAAATTGTATAAGGTCAGTCACTAACGACCTGAGGTGTGTAACAGTAAGTTTTTCTGCACAACAATAATTGAATCTTTGATGACTGAATAAGTGCAATTCACCTTTATCCCACAAGTTGGCAATGTCTGATACACAACGATGAAGTGACTTTTCACTTATAGTTACCGCAGGCAGAAAACAAAAGAATTGGAAATATTATCAGCAAAACTTGAAATGGCTCAGTGATTTACTGCAGAGCAAGTTGAATGCAATCAAATATTAGTGTCACTGTCACTTGATGCTGGATCTGGTGAAGAAGCAAAATATTATTTTAAAGATGAAAATATGTTTTAGATCACGAATATGAGCCAGATGCTGAATGTAGCCTACTGGGAAATGAGCTCTGACGAGGACATGATGATGGTATAAAACATCTGCTCGAACGGAACCCTTCCAAGCTCCAAAAGGTAACACAATATGCTTTATTTTATTCTTCTGTAATTGTTACTCTAATATCAGAGTAGTTTTATATTATCGAGACAGGCATAGAGATCCATCCGTGTCAGATATAGGTCCGGGTCGCTGAAGACCCAAATATGTATAGACTGGCAAAACATTCATGGCACATTAATCCTTAATGGCACAGATTCAATAAGGTTCTGGAAACATTCCTCAGAGATTTTGGTCCTTATTGACATGAATCATGATAGCATCCAGCAGCTTCTGCAGATTTGATCCATGATGCGAATCTCTCATTCCACCACATCCCAAAGCTCTTTTGGATCCTGAATGTGGAGGTCATTTTAGTTTAGTGAACTATATTGTTATATAACTTGGTGGTTTTTTTTTTCAATTTTAACTTTTTGTTCTTTTTGTCCTTTACTTTTCTTTCACATCTCGTGCTCTTCATCTGTTTACAGCAGAATCCCTCTGCAGCTTGAGGGGATTATGTTCATGTTCTGATATTTACTACCAATGTCTCTCGGCTCGCCAGGAAAGCATGCAACACTTGCAGCACGGCTTGTCCAAAAGTCATAAAAGCACAGACGGGGAGGGGAGGGAAGAGTGAAAGAGTGGGAAGAAAGCACAGGAGCTATTTCCAGATGCCTCTCTTCTGTCTTCATGTACACATTTTCACTTCAGGAACACGTTTCTGTGCGATTTATTCTAAATAACACAAATCTTGATTTGATGTAGTTGGTGTTTACTAGGATTTTTGAGGACAATCAAACAATTTGGTTGTTGCAGGCCAGAAGAAAGAAAGGCCCTTAAAGGTCGATATCTTTTGTGATAGTGTTTGGAAAAACTTGTTCGAAAGGTGGTTATTTATTTTCACTTCACCTTTATGCCTTTTATAACTTCTTCTGGATGTCCAGGTCCAACAAAGTGCACTTTAAGGGTGGCATCAGGCAGAGAGATGGCTGACTTCAAATTGGGCGACATCCTTATAAACCATACTAATATGTCTGTACAGTGTGTATTGTAACAATATATTTGTTTTTCCGTGTTTTTATTTATTTATGTATTGCTGTTGTTGCAATAGCTTTCCACAGGATGGAGCCACTCATTCAAAACGTTCTAAAGGTTGTCAAGATACCACTATCTTTCCAAAGTTATGTTTGCATCTGGCCACAAGAGTGAGCCAAGCACAGAGACTTGAATCTGGATGAGACTGATGCTTCAGGGCTTGATTTGTATTGGTGTCAATATGCTTGGAGTGAAGCTATGGCGTTATGTAAAACTTTTTTTTACATGATTTATACTTCACTCCTGCAGCCTTCGTTTTGCACAATTTTGTTCTTCATGTTTTATTTCTAAAATATTTTACAGTAACAGGTTTACCAATAGACTTCCTTTAAAATAGATTTACATTATATAATATACCTGATTAATGTAGCACGAGGTCGGAAAGTCTGAGACAATAGTGAAAATATGGGATTTACTTTATGGGATAGTTACTGAAAAAAATATGTATCTAGAAATAAGCTTTGAAAAGATTTAGAAAAATTTGCAACAAAGAAAAGTGCGTATAAAACGTCAAATGAAGACGTATTTAAGATTTAAATTTGTGACATTGAGCATGTGATCTTCATACAAAAGGTCAGAAGATGTCCTTGCTTCCATTGAAACAAAATATGCTATTTGGATCATTCTCAATTGTTGGTTATACATGATCATTAGTTTTTACACAAACTAGTTTGAGTTCTGCTGTCATACCAAAGACATTCTTAAATTTCTTCTTGAGTTTTCACTCAAATAGTTATTCTGATTAAATAATTTGGAATGAAAAATTTGGAATGAAAAAAAGCAAAATAGAAGCATTTCTCAGATTTTTGGACTCTAAGTCATTTATGAAAACCGCAACATATGTATGCTGCATATTTCTGCTGATTTTTTCATATGCCAAATATCACCAGCACAGAACAACGATTATCAAATTAAAAAGAAAATGTTTAAAGTTCCACACCAGTCCTAATATGGAGTAAAAGAGCTCTGCATGTACTGTATATAATTATTCTTTTGTTAGGAATTCGACAACATTTCCTCCTCACACTTCAGCTCGTTGTTGAATTAATCCTCCATTCTTTGTGTTTTGCTTATTCGGTGTTGGAGGTGAGATCATAGAGACACACTGGTGAACAGGAGAGGCTGGTGCACTGACAGTTTGCCAGTCTTTCCTGCTGCAGAAAGCTGAGCTATAAAAGCCCTCTCCCCCTCAGCTGGAGCCCATTCTTGCTCTGAAGTCTCACAGTGGGGAAAGCAGGGATGAAGCGACTCTTCACGGCTACTTTTGCACTCTTTGTGCTGTCTGCCTTTGACCAGGCAGACTCCTCAGCCTATGACAAGATAGTTGCCCATAGTCGTATTCGAGCAAAGAAAGAAGGGTAAGAGTTATTCATTTGATGTATTCAATTGTTATATTATAAATAGCATATATCATTTAAATATATTTCAATTAAGAATAACTTTCATAATTCATTTTTTTTTTTTTTTATTCAAATGTATTTTAAATATTTTACATATGGTTATTATTTTACATACTCTTACATTGCTGTTGTTATTATTACTGTATATTTGTATAACTGAAGATTTATTTGTCTTTGTGAAACACATATGCAAACTGTGTGAAAATATTTATATTATTATTATTATTTTGTGTAACCAAATCTTGTCAGGTTGATTGTCATACTAAATAATATTATTGACTTACAAAATATAAAAATTATTTGAAATTATCTATTTGAAATCTGTTGCACTTGTGGGTCCAATTCTCACTATGAACTAGTTGCTTATTAGCATGCATATTACTAGGATATTGGCTGTTTATTAGCACTTATAAAGCACATATTAATGCCTATTCTCCGTGACCATATTCTACATCCTTTAATCCTACCCAATACATAAACTGAACAACTACCTTGGTAACTATTAATAAGCAGTAATTAGGATTTATTGAGTTTATTATTAAAGTTCTCAATAGTTAGTTAATAGGGGCGGCAGTGGCTCAGTGGTTCATGTAGGTTGTCTACAAACCAGAAGGTTGGTGGTTCAATCCCCGGTTCCACCTTGACCAAGTGTCGAGGTGTCCATGAGCAAGACACTAAGCGCTATATAAATGCAGTCCATTTACCATTTAGTGAGAATTGGACCCTAATCTAAAGTGTGACCTCCCAGCTTTACTCATTCCATCCTGTCTTACCTTTACCTCTCTGCAGACCAAATGTGTGCGCTCTCCAGCAAGTCGTGGGGACAAAGAAGAAATACTTCAGCACTTGCCGTAATTGGTACCAAGGGGCCATCTGTGGAAAAAAAGCGTAAGTGTGATGGTTTATGATTTCTGGAGGCTATTACAAATCCTGTCTCTTTGACAGAAACTGGAAAGTTCCAACTGCTCCAAAGGTGAAAGGTTGCTGTCCCAACTGGTAAGAGTGTGTGAAGACTTCCAAGTTACATTCACAGATGAATTCCTACTGAAGCTGAGCTCCAAATGCAGCCTAATAGTTGAATTTACAATGCTTCCTATCCAAATGACTTTTTAAAATACATAAATAGACAGCAACAGTAGATTTATAGTTCAACATGGCTGCCAAAACAAAGACAAAGAATTGCTCTACAGCTACAAACCAAATTCCATGTGTTTCTACGGCACAAACCACCGGAGAGCTGCAGAACCTTAATTGGTATAAAATGGTGAGACCCACTGACGTTGTCAGGACATGCCATCAATGATTAAAGAAAGCAGTAGAGCTCGCCTGGAGTGCTTGGCTTGTGTTGAAACACCTTTCTTTAAATTTCTGTCCTAGGGCGAAAATACACAGCTGTCTACAAAGTGGAAATGTCAGCAGGCTCTTTTGTTTTTTAAGAAGCTCTTTGGCAAAACTAAGTGAACTTAATGATGTGTGAAATGTAAAACAACAACAGCAAAAAAAGATTTCAACATCTAGATCAACAATATACCATAAGATGAGCAGCAATGTCCTACTGTGAAGGCTCCAGTAATGACGTTGTGGTTTCTGGAGGCCAACATGGTCAACCACAACCGTTGATTCATGTAGAGTATGTTATGCCTCCGGTTTCTTTTCCTTTTTCTGTGGTTGGAAAAGAGTGGAACAACAACATAAAGAGTTTTCCTGGGCCTCTCATATGTGACCAAACAGCACCGATGTGAACTAACCTCCAGTGGTTTCAAACTTCCTTTAGTTGCAAAGCCAGACTTGCCTGAGATATTCTCTAGATTTTCTGCTTATCTTGCAGTTTTGTATATCGAAAAGCCAGGAACTGTTCTGCTCTGGGGATTTTCTCTGCTCTCAGCAGACCATTACATAGCGGTCTGGCAATCTTTGTAAATATCTGGTTTAGTGTGCTTAGCTTCCATAACTGAGATGAGAATGACAGTCTTAGATCTCCTTCAAAGATTGGTGAAAAAAAAAGTTATATCACTGATGGTTGGAGAAGTTGGAGAATTTTCCATTTTGTAGTGTTTTCATTCAAGTCATTGGTTTGATGTTCTAGTACAAAGCTTATCTCTATATATTTTTTTTAGAAATCTCCACCATCTGATGGTTTTAGCTCCATCCTAATGGTTTGAACATATTCATAATGTTGTGGATCCTTTGAACTGGTGACTCACAAGGGAGAACTTAATTTCAATTGGAAAATTTGACCTTCTCCCCGATGATTCATGTGGATGCATTCCCTCAGCATGTCTGGTCAACAGGAGTCATGTTTTCCTCCCGTTTTGGGGAGAGATGCTTTAGAAGCTCATGTTCTAGTGAGGCTCTAATGATCTCATCAGCTATCCTTTCCCTGCACTTCACTTCTATAGAAGACGTGGAGCCCAGCCATGAGCCAAAACTATTCCTTCTGGATCCTCATACGGCGGTCACATAGAGGACAGCTTTGAAATCCCCATTAGTTTCTTAGTCTCGTGATTGCCCAATCTAAGGGACTTGTCAGTTTCCACTCTTCCACAGAACTCACCACTGACTGTCAGTTCTCATTTGGTGATTTGCAGGCTGTTTTATCTTTCTGCGGAATTCAGCAACATGGAACCATTTTGCTGGTGTGGAGATTTCCATGTGCACTAACCTTGACTAGTGTTTCTCTCTGAATCTCCACCACTGCTGGAGTTTGTTTATTATCAGCAGCTTTGAGAACTTCTCAAGGGATTGTAACACTCCAGGGGTGTTTTCTCAGAGGACCTTATAAAAAACCTATTTCCCATTAACAGCTATTTATTAACTCTACAATATGGCTGCTGTATAGTTGGTATAATTAGCTTAGGTGAGTTTTATTGAACCCATTATTCATATTAAGAGCCTGTTATAATGCAAATGAACTTGCAACTGGTTAAACGCACAGTAAAGGGAATGGGGAAAAAAATTTTGATGCACAAAAATACCTTGGTCTGTCAGAAGATGTTTATGGTGGCATTTGAAATTATAATTCAAGTTCTGAAGTACAACAATGAATTCCTTCTTTTACATGATGCTTAGTAAAATAGTTGTATTTAAAAGCACATATGTATAGATATATATTCAGACGGTTTAATAGTTATATTTTTTGTTTCTTAATGCTACAGAGCAAAATGACTTCTCATCCATGAGATTCCATTTGTGTGGTCATGGAAACATATTTACAAGCTTGGTTTGAAGGTTTAAAGGCCGTTTTCATTGAAAACAGAAAAACCAGAATGCAACCTCCATTATGGAAAACTGCTGATTCGACATTTCCTTCCCATTGTACATTGTAACTTCCAAACCAAGGGTTTTCACTGGGTTATAAATTTACTTTAAAGGCTTCCTGGATCCAAAAAATACCCCTCAGCTTTACTAAACCACCAAGTTGGTCTCAGCGCTTGGCTTCAGGGCACTTTAAGTATTAATGCAATGCTATGACAACATAATGATAGTGGAATAAGGCACAAACCTCGGGACCACATAGCATGTTTATTTACAAAGACAGTTAATGGTTGCCATATGGAAAGACTGTCTGTCCAATACCATGAACTGTGTTATCATTAAAACCAGGATTGCTTGTAACGACGTGAGAATGGCATCCAGGAAGAAGAAAAAAATGAATTTGAGCATGTACATTACCGGTATTTTATTTTTTCAAGTGGCACCAAATGTCTGGGCTTCAATATTCACTTAACACATGTTCTTCTGGATTTATGTATTCCCTCCCTTTGTCCAGGACCGTGTTGTATGAGTGTTGCCCAGGTTACATGAAGTTGGACGGCTTGAGAGGCTGTCCTGCAGGTTGGTTGATTTCGTAATAGTTACTTACTGACCAGTCTGACATTGGAATGTCATAAAAGTCTGGTTATATTGTCAATAAAATACAAATTTACAATGATAAGTATGCTAAGTGTGATTGATATATAGTTTGAATGCTATAATGTAGGAAACAATTTTTATTAGGCTGCAATCTTGCGGCTAATCTGAGTCACTTTCCTTGCAGTTGCTCCCATTGACAACGTTTATGGCACCCTCGGCCTGGTCAAAGCCAAAAATACCCAGGAATACTCTGCTATATCCAAGCTACGAGAAGAGATTGAAGGTTCCGGGTCGTACACCTTCTTCGCACCCAGTAATGATGCATGGGATCTTTTGGATACGGTATCATCACGTTCCTTCTATATTCAGCACAAACTTGGAAATTGAGTAATTCCTTGACTGTTTTGCATTGGCTTCCTCTCTGTTCTATAGGAGGTGAGGAATGCTCTGGTGAGCAATGTTAATATCGAGCTGTACAATGCTCTGCACTACCACATGGTCAACAAACGCCTTCTCACCAAAGACCTCAAGAACGGAATGACCGCAACCTCCATGTACAACGACTTGAGCCTGCTCATCAATCATTACTCCAATGGGGTAATTTGATATCTTGAGAAATGGAGGGTTATGTTTCAGGTTACTTTCTTCTTTGTGAGGGACTTAATTTACACATGGTTCTTGTTCAGGTTGTCACAGTGAACTGTGCCAGGATCATTCACGGCAACCAGGTGGCCACCAACGGAGTGGTCCACGTCATTGACCGCGTCATCACAGCTGTTGGCAACACCATTCAGGATATAATCGAAGTCGACGATGAACTAAGCACTTTGAGTGTAAGTGTTAAGGAAACTTGGAGCTGTGTAGTTCATGAACCAAACTGTGTTAACCAAACCACACACAACCCAATTAACCAAAAGTTGTTTATGCTCCGTTTCTTTTCCAGACTGTGGCTACTGAATCCGGTTTGATTGAGAAGCTGGGTCAGCCGGGACACTTCACCCTGTTCGCCCCCACCAACGATGCCTTTGAAAATCTGGATAGAGAGGTTATGGACAGGCTTATGAAAGACAAGGTTTCCCTCCAAGGTAAACCCAAGACGTAAAGCCCACATGATTTCCCATTGCACTATTCTCAAATGGAGTGCTTTAAGTTGTCGAAGGGACACGTTAAATCCCATATTGATGGCAGACTTGGCACAAAGAAAGGCTTTATTCTTATTTAATGAGACAAAGATGCAGGAAATCAAGGATCTGGCAGTTCCCTCGTGCCGTGTTTGTTGATATGAGTCAACTGAGTGGGGCCAAGGATTATTTTGCCCCCTTTCAAACCAGATGGGCCTGCTGCACCCTGAGCTGTAGAACTGGAATTCTCAGACAGTTGGCAAACAGTGCCATAACAATACTTATAGGACTATTTTGAGAATTAGACAGGGTTACAGTTGAGCCACTTGGAGAAGAAATCATATCTGAAGGTTCTCGGCAGCAGAACTGAAGTTTATGGGTACGTCTTACAGTATTTTCAGAATACTGTGGTTGATGTTTGCTTTGGAGTTGCATTAACTTTCCCAGTGATCATGTAATAGAATGACATAATACCCCACTCTCATGAATATAAGGTTTGTCAGAAATGCCCTAAGGCTTACGTTAACTGCTTGAGTGAAAACTAAAATAAAACTAATATTATGGCCAAATCTTTTGTGCCAAGCGGAAAGACATTTGATCTGCTACTTAAGCAATTTTCATTGAGGGAAGCCATGGAAATGAAAAAGAAAAACTCCTAGCTTTACCTAGATACTGATGCATTGTACAGTTAACCATTGAATGCATATAATTCCAACACATTTAACACAATGAACAATACAGTGAGATGATAGCCAGCTTGAACATATGCACCTATTTGGCTCCAGTGGTTCATGTTTTCCAGAGTGATGCGGAATACATTTTGTAACCATTAAAGCGATAATGTTCATTGTAAGGGCCAAAGGAGAAAGATCTAAGACCTTCTGAAAAGAGCATAATCCTTGTCTTGCCAGAGACCTATTAGACAGGAAACAGCTGTTAGCTTTACGATCGAGTGAAAAATGGTGGCGATGGGATCTCAGCCCTCTTATTAGTCCCTAGACTTTTGACTTGAGACTCGCTCTATTTCCAGTCAAATGGTTTGTTGCTGCTGAGAGATTCACTCGGAGTGGACCCAAAGGCTCCCAAGGCTCCCCAGGATCCCTTTTGGGAACTAATTGGAGATGAAATGACATAATGGATTGCATGCATATCTACATAATCTATATATTAAATCACAGAATTTAAATAGTCTTTGACAAATATTAAAGGTCATGCAATCAAAGTCCATGTTGGAGCTACTGTGTCTATATGCTAGTGTAAGCCTAGCAGATATTGCATTTTAAATTTACAACCATTCTCTCAGGAAAACTGTGCTTGGCAAGTGATTTCATGTACATTCATTTAAAGCAAATACTGTGTTAAATCACTGTGCAAAATTGTCATTTAGCATGTTTGTATGAAGCATTTTCAAACAGACTCATTTCCATTTGTGATTTTTACCTGATGTGGTATGTTCTAAACACCAAAAAAATATATTATATCATTTTTCCATGATTTCCTCACATCTCAAGAGGCGTGTAAGAGGAATAACAGATGTGCTTGGATGACAGAGACTGATGTTTCTTCTCTTCCAGCTCTCCTCAACTACCATCTGTTGAACTCAGTTCAGTGCTCTGAGGCCATCATGGCCGGCACGTCTCATGAGACCCTGGAGGGCAGCAATATTGAAATTGGCTGCGATGGCGATAGCCTTACAGTCAATGGCATAAAGATGGTACTCAAGAAGGACATTGTCACCAGCAATGGAGTCATCCACCTCATCGATCAAGTCCTCATGCCCGACTCTGGTAAGCTTATCCTATCTGTCTCTTTTATCTTTTTTTCCTGAGAGTGCAGAAATGACTGAAATAGCCTTTAAATGCTGTGATTTTTGCTTTTTTTAAAGCTAAACAGGTTATGGAGCTGGTTGGACAGTCTCAGAGCACCTACGGTGACATGTTGACAGAGCTAGGCTTGTCTGCAGCCATGAGACCCCAGGCTGAGTACACGCTCCTGGCTCCACTCAACGCAGCCTTCAACGGTGAGCAAATACATGTCAATCTCCCTCTCCCTCTGTTTAACTAACTTCCATAGTCTCTTTGCCTTTACTCAGCTGCTTGTTTCTTCTCTGTCATTGTCTGTTTTAATTCTACCTTAGCAAGACCTCTGTTCTTTCAATTGCTTATGTGCCTTGCCTTTGTTAACTTCTGCTGTCCCATAACTATAACTTTGATTCTTCGCGGGATAGCAGGTGTAAAAACATATGATTTAGTCAATGCCTGTTTATGGAAAATGGCAGCTTCTGTTAATCTATGGGCCTCATCGGGCTTCCAGCACTGAAAAGATGTTGAAAGAAAGAGAAGATGAAAACTTCTGATATCCCACCTCCCATACAGAGCGTTTCAGACCTCACAGGAGGACCTCGCTGGATCTTTCACCTCATCATCACATGTTTGTAGTTCATTTGTGGCTAATGACATGTGAACATATTCATCACATTATATTTACAGGGGTAAATCGTTCCTTTTACTAGGCTGCATGGGGGAAAGGGACAGTGCCTGCGGTTACAATAACAGAAAGTCCTGTCTGGGAATGCACATTCTACAAACTGCTCACCACGAAAGGCTGGCCAAGTCTTAACATGTTGCAGTTTGAAATATATAATATTTTAATGGTACAGCCTCTTTGGTTATGTTTTAATGTAGAAGATGTTAATTGGTCTTTTTAATCGTTCTAAATCCGAGTTGCGTTATATCATGTTATTGATTATGCAAATGTTATCACAAAACTTTTTTGTCATGATGGTAAACCAAACCAGGTGCAAATCATTTTTTTCCCTCTGCAATCCAGATGAGGTGATGTCCATGGACCAGAGCTTCCTGAAGATCATTCTGGAAAACCACATAATCAAGAACAAGGTTGTGCTGAGTCAGCTGTACAACGGTCAGCGCCTGGAAACACTCGCAGGGAAATTTCTCAGAGTCTTCGTCTACCGCACAGTCAGTTGTTTTATATGTCTTTGTTCTTGATTTTCTTATGATTTGGAATCTTCCATTTGGCAAAAAATATGCATATTATTTATATATTAATTAATCAACTAATTTATAAATTGTAATATATATGTCAGGAAAATATACGTGTATATTATATATACATTTCTCCAATGTACTAAAATAAAACAACTTTTTAAGGATGGATAAACACACCAATAGTTTTATGAAACGTAAAAAAATATTTTCATGTATTCGTTCTTGTTCTCCCTATGTGCTCGTATAACTGAACTGTATTCGAAATGTATTTTCTTACCTCTTTTAAACTAAATATTTTTACAACACATATTTACAATACATTTTAAAGCCAGGGGGATAAAAAAAGGATTTTTATTTTCACAGGTGTATGAATTTTTTATTTAAAAATTTTTTTTTACATTGACATTTATTGGCATTGTAATTTTTAAGTAATAGCTCAAATAGTTTCCATTAGTAGACTCAGAGGAAGTGAACTGTCTTGTAATATCTTACCTATGAAGGCAGTCTGCATTGAGAACGCCTGCTTCATCCGTGGAAGCAAAGAGGGAAGTAATGGTGCCCTCCATCTCATGAAGACCCTGATCACGGCACCAGAGTCCACCATGTACCAACTTCTGGTGAAAAACGGAGCATTCAAGTAAGAAAAAGTGAATTTTTATCAAGTCAAAGTGAAGATCGCTTTCTTGTCCTTGTGACTATCACTTCATTGCTGCAGGATCTTTTTGTCTCTGATGGAAGCAGCTGGTCTGACTGATATGCTCAAACAGGAAGGAGATTTCACACTCTTTGCCCCTACAGATGAGTCTTTTGCAGGGCTCAGTGAGAGAGACTTGTCTCTTTTGAAGAGTGAGTTCTTTCATACATGTCATTTTCAAGGCACACCACATCTAGAATTACTGTTTAGCTTTGTTTTATACAGGATTAATGAGATTAAAGATGAAAGACGGAGGATACAGGATATGACAGCGTCTCTTCTCTGTGATCAGGTGACGTTAACGCCCTCAGAGCCATTCTGCTCTATCACTTCAGTAACGGCGTCTTCATCGGTGGAGGCTTGGAGACTGGAGTCACTAACCTCCTCAAAACTCTCCAGGGCAGCAATTTGAAGGTGTTGTATGTAAGTATCAAGCACTCCTGCAGTCCAGCCTTGAAATTAATTTCAAGTCATAACATCTGTTATAGGAACACATGCAAGAACCTTCATCAGATTATATGATTCCGCTCTGTAATATAGAGTTTTATGGTGGGAATTTCCTGTGAGTAAAATTAAACCATGCTTTGTAGTAAACCACTTACCTTGATACAACCTCTGAATTTATTTGATATACGGAAGTATTAAACAGGTACAGAATGTTTTTTACAGGTTTTTTTAGTAACCTTAATATACATTTACATTGGGAAGGTCACATAAATCTTTGGTTAAATAAAATGTTGTTGTAAAGGTTATACTGTAAGAGTAAACAATGTCAAATAACATAAAAAGTCTAAATTAGCAGACAATATATTATTTAATATTACTAAATCTGAATACATTAGCTTAAACCAATGAAATAAAAAATAATATTCAGATCATTATTGCTCCTAAACATAACAAGAACCTGTATTACCATTCTTTACATTTATGTTTTTAAATTATTATTTTTTATATATATATATATATTAGTGTATTTCTATTTATTCATTTTTATACAGGTAGAGACATATATACATTAATATAATTTATTTGTTATACATTTCAGCACTTTTTGTCTGTTTGATCTTTGTTGTTATTGTACTTGTTTGTTAAAATTACATAATATAATAATATTTACTATGTATGTTTTATGATAACATTTATTTATTGAAAAATATATTGCAATTTACAGGCAAATCAGAGCATGCAGGTCAACACTGTGAAAGTTCCTGAGTCTGATTTAATGGCCACAAATGGAGTTGTTCACTTCGTCAGGACTCTTCTGTACCCTGAGGGTGAGAGATGAAATTGCAGTTACTGTGATGTTTTTTTTTTCTTTTCTTTCTTTTTTTGTGTGGAAATCATTTTCCAACTACTAAATGTCTGTTTTATTTTAAAAGATATACCTGTTGGTAGCCAGGAACTCCGTTCACTCCTGACAAGGATCATCCGATACATCCAGATTAAGGTATTGAATTGCAACATGCAACAAGCATGAAGTCGTTCACAGAAAGACCCATTTAGGGGCTCGTTTGCCCTGAGGATCTGGACTCGATTATGTGCAACCAAATTCAGCCTTCATGCCATAATATGATCTCACAAAACAGATGTCCAGTGGGATCCTAATGCCATCTTTTCTTTTTTTTACTTGTGTAATTTTACCGCCATGCCTTAAAAAGTGTAATAGACAGGATATTTTCATAAGTGAATTTCTGTGCCAACGTGTATTTTCTTTCCTTTGTAGTATGTTTCTGGATACAGATTTCAGGAGATCCCTCTGACATTTATGAGTATGTATATCAAAAATGGTTTTCATTTCAGTGTCTTTTTATCTGTTTTCTCAAAGATTCGATTTTCTTGAAATCTGACAATCATGTTTCACCCTTTTCCCTCTAGGAAGAGTCATCACAGGTAATTGACACCAATGAAACTCATTACTCACGAGAGAGCTAGATTATTACTCTGTGCTGCATGAAGATTGTTTGTTTAATGAGTACTGTGTTTCTTATTTATGCAGTTCCTGGTGATGTTACAAAAGTCACCAGAGTCATCCAGGGAGAGCCTACTATCACCAAGGTGACACGGGTTATTGAGGGTCAACCTACTTTCACTAAAGTCACCAGGGTAATCGAAGGACAGCCTTCCATGACTAAGGTTACGAGAGTCATCGAAAGTGATCCAGCTATGACCAAAGTCACCAGAGTCGTTAAAGGTAAACACCATTAAACACATCAATGATAGTTATTGCACATATCATTGCATTAAAGCTATTGTCATGTAAACAATGTTAAGTAATCGTACATTTATTGTGTAACACTTTAGTTTAGGGTCCAACTCTCACTATTAAGTGGTTGCTTATTAGCATGCATATTACTAGGATATTGGCTGTTTATTAGCACTTTTAAAGCACATGTTAATGCCTTATTCTGTATGACCATATTCTACATCCCTTAATCCTACCCAATACCTAAACATAACGACTACCTTAGTAACTATTTATAAGCCAAAATTAGGGGTTTATTGTGGCAAAAGTCATAGTTAATAGTGAGAATTGGACCCAAATCTAACGTGTGACCACTTATTGAAATTTCATTGAATGAAAAAGGATTTATACCAATTTTTGACTGATCCTCTGTTGTGCCATTTCTACCACAACCAACAATTTGTTGACTAATAAAGATCTTTCAAAAGTTACTTGGTGAGATAAATGTAAGTAAAGTAAATATATTTGTTGTAATCTTGTCAGTATTACAGTCAAATTTTGCTTATTTTTGTTACATTGTTTAAGTTTGCAAAAAGTGTTAGCAAAATGCTAGCTATGAAATGACCAGCCAAACATTGTATTCTTAAAATGTTTAAAATGTAATTTTCACCCCACACCGCTATTACACAATACAATACAACAATATAAGATGTGATGAAAATGTTCTGACGATTAAACAAATAACAGAATTCTCGTGTGATGCTTTGATTTTATAAGTCCACTGGGCCAAATGCACCCACAGTTAAATAAACGCCCTAATAACTATGAATGGCATCTCAATGTGTTGCCTTTTAGTCATACTCATACTCCAAATGTTTGGTCATTCTCCAAAGGACAAATGTGTGATAATGTGACATGGAATATGTCTATGAAAACCAACTGTGATATTTCCCAACAGTGCGTGTTGCTAAAGCCATGAACCCATCCTTTCCTGGACCTGGATTTCACAAGTATTGACACATGTTTAATGTTTTGTATCAACAGGTCCTGAATATTCAGTCACCAGCTCCTCCGATATGGAGCGTTATGGTAGTGTGACACTTTGAACCCTTTATTAGCATGCTAGCATCAGAGCTAACAGTTAACCTCATTTTGCCTTCCTTCCAAATCTTTTTTTCCTTAAAGTTTGTCCTATTCCAGGTTACAGAATACGATATCTTTCTATTGTGCTAAGGGTACTGGTAAAAGACAACTAAAATTTTTCATTTATTGTTTTTCCTTTTATACTCTTTTAGAATTAGCTATGCTACAAGCTGCGGAGTAAAGCCGACCCAGTCAACCACTGAACTCTACTCCCTTTTCCTTTTCTCTCTAGTTCTTCATGTATAATCAGATAAATGTCAGTATTATTCATCATTTCTTCTTCTTCTTTCACACTAGATTTCAGCGAGGACCCTGACAGCATCACTAGTTACATTCAAGGTGAGATTCTAACATTTGCAAAGGTATGTCAAGCTAAACTGTCCCAACATGGTTGACCTCTTTGTCTTTTGCTAATCTGTTTCCAGAGGGAAGAAGGGTGGCTGGAAGAAGGCCAGGTAAATAATTCACTAAACATCAGTTTGACACTTTGAGATTTTGTCATGCATATTGCACGCACGTCGATTGAACAAGCAATGTGCTACAAGCTTTGACCTCTCTTTTCATAATCTCAGGAATACCCCGGAGGAGAGTCTAGATCTAGACTGGACAGAGATTGCACAAGTTGAAAACAAGACCTGAAGAGTACTTCCTTCATTTACTTGCGCAGTGGTCCAGAACCTACCAGGTTGAAGTTGAGTTTAAGGCAAAAGAAAAACATACTCAATATTGATCATTCCTGTTTGTTCCAAAGATAATGGTGATTTTTGTTCAAGTACATTTGGTCCACATCATGGGGATACAACATTCCCAAAATGTGTATATAAATAAGCTCTCTCTCTCTTTTTGTTGTCAAGTATGGTCTGAAAAATCACAGTTTCACCTTCGTCATAAATAAATGATCATGTGTGATGTTACACAAAACAACATCTGATGCTTTCTGATGTTTTTGTTACATGATTTGGAAACATTTGTACAACCATGTATTACCGTTTGTATGAAACAACTCAAAAAATGGAAGCATTCATATACATGGTATAAGGAACAGTTAAAATGAACAAATGACTAAAACCAGCAGTATGAATTTATTTTTCTGGGGTACGGTTTACAGTTGCATGGACAATGATTTTATGGTGCTCATGTTTAGATGGTGTAAAATTTAAAATAAAAATAGAAATGATGTTGCAGTGTTTTGTTAGAAAATCTTGATTTTATTTCCATGTTCTTTTCATTGTGTGATAGAGGTTTGATTGTTCTTCCTTGGTGTTTTTGTATGTGTATGTAAGTGTGTCCATTTGCATAAACCGTGCACAAATGTGCTGATTTATGTTACCAGTCCAAGGTTAATTTGACAAACAGGTTTTGGCTACTTTCCATTTATTTTTCAATTTCCATAATAAACTCAACTTTTAGACATGGAATTGTGTGTCAGTTTTTGAAGTAACAAAATGTTAATATTATTTCATTATTTGTCATTATTTATTTTTTAATATTTTTTAAACGTTTTATATAAAAGTATAACAATAAAATATTAAATATTAATGAGGAAAATAATAGATAAATATTTTAAGCATTGAAGTGCCATCTTTGCCAAGTTTTACTCGAGAAAGAGAATATTTCTCATGTGGAAATATCTAGGATATATCTCAAATGTGAGTTGCAGGCTAAGAAAAAGACCACCATTTCCAGTATAATGATTCATATTTTAGCACAGAGAAAAATCTGCACAAAAAGTCCATATTTATATGTGTTTTATAAATTTCAATGTATTTGTGCATTCATAAACTTTTCCATTTAAGACATTTATTTGTCCTCTTTTTTTGTCTTCCCTCAGGAGATACACATTCATTCTTATTGCCTGAGTTCAAGCAGTCACTGTAATGAGGGATAAGTCAAGGCACATCTTTATTACAGAATTTGTTCCATAACTTCGTTTTAGCATGTCATACACTGACATTTTGTGTCAATATGGAATGTAGCGAACATGTTATCTAAAGAAAGTCTGAAAAAAAGAATCCATGTATGAGCTTATAGTTCAACTTTCTTCTTTAGCTGTTAAATAACTTTTTGAAAACACTCTGTTTTGTTTTATTGGTTAATGTAAGAAATGCTGGCTATGTAAGATAATGGGCAAAATGGTAATGTTTTTACTTTTACTAAATATTGTTATATTTTTAACTGTATAAAAAATATAATCATTCATACACAGTTTGGACCGGTCAAATGATCAAACTATATACATAATAGATTAACTAAATGCAAATGTAAACAGCCAACCCAACTAAGAAAGCAAAGGCTGTGAGCATTTTTTTCAGAACGCAAGACTAAACTTGCTGCTGCTCTTTTCTATATAGATGTGGAGGTCAAAGTGGGACATTTCAGACGGGGGCTAGTGGTGACATGCATCCCACTGAAGTTTGCATACAATGCAGCTGGATTGATTTGAGCTGATTCCAAGAACTACAGTCAGATACCAGCATGATGTTTCTGACAAGTGATTTTTGAGTCACTTCACTTCAGCTATTCTAATTATAAGAGCAGCAAAGCTTGTGATCATTTCCCAAGCTTTTGTTCCAGCATTTTATATATCCAAATGCTATATCACTATCTTTCATTAGCAGCAGGACCGTCGCTAGAGGGGAGAAAAGTGGTCACAATTCTCAGGGCCCCTGGCTTTGGGGGGAGGCCCCAGCTATTTTCACCGGAGAAGGCTCACAGCAACAACCTGCACTGGGGCCCCGGATCCCCTATAGCTACAGCCCTGAGTAGCATTTTTGTAAGAGCCCAGCCCTCAATAGCTTGTTCAGGCAAGAGGGGCATCGCAAAGAAGCGAGCTGGGAAACGGATTGTTCGGCACATTCTGGTGGGTTGCAACTCATACACTCCCTCTGAAACAATCTATCCGGATATTTGAAATGATACGAACGAATGAATAATACGAAATGAATGATATGAAAATTTGTTGTGTGTGATTGCTTTTTGAATCAGTGCATCTTCAGTTTGAGACTTACATGTACAATACAAGACAACTAAAAAAAGTATGGGAAAGGGTGTCACAATAGGGAAGAAAATGCTATTGCAACTTCCATTTCATGCCAACTTTAAATGATGTTTTATTAACAAAGTTCGGGAGGAGCACGTTCAGATAATTAAACCTAATTAAACACATGTGGAGCACATTTAGATAATCAAACCTAATTAAAAACGAGTGGTGCTTAATCAACGAGTTAAGCGCTGTGTGTATATATACAGCAAACTTACCTCCGTTCATTGACAGTTTAACAGCATCCCTCCACCACCCCATCTCCTCACTTATAGTCCTAATACTCTTACAACAACGGGGGGGGGGTACTCTGGGTTCGGGCAAAATTCCGAGCTCGGAGCCCTCCCCCCGGACAGCACGCCAAATACGCATAATCTTTACTCTGTTTAATTGATGTAAGTGTGAACTCGTGAAAATGTACGCGCATATGAGCATTATGAACACTTGTGACAGACATACACAGGTTCAGACACGCCTAAAGGTGCAAAAATCACAAGTACTAGACCTCTACATCTCAACAAAACAGGCACTAAACAAATTACTTCCAACCATTGCAATTATGTGACATGTCTGAAATGGGGAGTTATACTGAAGAGGAAGAACCATCGCTGGATTTATTAATACCCACTTAACTCAATTTGGATTATTAAAATACCGTACGGATGAAAATCCAGGCCTTGGTATTCATGGACTCCCTACATTGCAGATTTTATGAGTGGTTGAAATGGAATGCTGTATTTACTAATGATACAGTGTTGTACTTAACTTCCTTTTGCTTTCTTCCCTCCTCTTTTCTTTTCCTTTCTTTAATAGTGTGGTTGAATGGATCTTCATGATAGTGGAAAGAATTGTTTAAAACTAATGAATATAAAACCAACCGTTTTTACAATGTCTTCAGAAAATGGCAACTAAAAAAGGCATGACAACTAAATAGAAAGGAAACACAAGAAATACAAACACAAGGACAAAAAGATAACTAAACTGACCATAACTCTGAGATACACATGTTAGGTTTTCATGTTTTATGGGGACATTCCATAGGCATAATTATATTTTAGGGACGTGCACAGGAATTTTGAGGGGCAGTTACTCTGACCTGAAAAAAGGGCACCCCCAAAATTCTGCTAAGGGCCCTCTACCTGACCTGTGACGCCGTGAGCTATGTAAACCATTTGCCATTGCCACACAGTCACACCTGACACTTCAGTGCTCCCAATACAATCCTCCCTCCTTTAAACAAAACAGTCAAAGAATAAGTACAACAATATAGAACAGAATGAGGTTCAAACAAACAATATTTATTGAATAGAGTATTTTCTATTGAATGTTAAGATAACAAGTGAATATTAATGTAAACATAAATAAGAAGAAAATTATAAATTATAACCCTGAGCTTTGGCTTTTGGGATTAACTTTGGTTCTCTCTACAGCCTGCGTATTTTCGGCATCAGTATGATTTTTTATTTTTTTATTATGCATGTTGAAGCAATTCTTGATTTATGGTTATTATTTACTGAGGGATGTGCATCCATATTGACCAGTATGTCCAGCTAATCAACATTTTAAATTCAATATAGCCTACAAATCAATCGTCAATCAATGTCAAATTGTCAATACATTGCTTTCTATCTTGCATAATTAGTGTAGTTGTTTAGAGTTTTTAACTACACTGAGACTAGATAATCAGTGTCTTGTTTTATAATGTGTACTTTGATTGGGAGTGCCATCATTCACGTGCATGTATTGTACAGTATGTCTGGTCTTCACATATTTCTGCTTGAAAAATGCGCGTTTCATTTTGTGCACGCGCATATGAACGCACGATATGAACGCGGCGACGCGGTTATGTTTTCCGAGCTGCAGTAAACAAACACCGTTGCACTTTGTCGTTTATCAAAAACAAACGTAATTAATTTTTATTTTACGTATTTTACTCTCACTTTTGTCAGGCACAAAGTGATGAAAGAGATGCACTGCCTGGCCAGCTAGGTAGGTTAGCAAGACCAACTTTGCTAACATCAAACTTAGAGAGGAGAGAACACAAGTTTACCTGATTGTTGTTCCCGCAATTCGCTCTCATGGTTTTTTTCTTCTTCCTCTTTTCGTGACCAGAAGGATAGTTTCGCTTCATTTTGTCATGGATGTTGTACACATTAATTGACGCGCAATATGACATGGTATGGAGGCGGGGCCTTAAGTAATTTGTGGGGCCTTACGCAGAATACGCATCGGTCGCGTGTAGCGCTGCAGCCACGTAAACAGTTTGCCCTTCCCTTACTGACTTTCACTTTCGGTGCCCGAATGGAAGTGAATGAGGCTTTGCGAATTTTTTTTTTTTTTTTGTTATCTAGGCCTACGTGAAATTCTGCATCCATTGTACGATTTTTTTTTTTTCTCGGAAGGGCAACCTGAGTGGAGAAGGGCATATGGGCAGTTGCCCGGGCAACCTGAGCAACCCCCCTGTGCACGTCCCTGCTGCACAAACTGTCTATTCTATCCCCTATCCCCTTTTTATCTCAGAAAAAAAGGTACAAAAGCTGTCACTGGGGCGGTACCCTTTAAACAAGTTCACCTTTGTACCTAAAGAGTGCAAAAATATTTAAACATTTTCTTTAATGACTTTCTGGGCCGTCAAGTATCATTCCCTTTGGCAGCCTATGTAGCAGTGATCCACCTCTCAGATTTAATCAAAAATATCTTCATTTGTGTTCCGAAGATGAACGAAGGTCTTACGGGGTTGGTACAGCATGGGGGTGAGTAATTAATGACTTAATTTTCATTTTTGGGTGAACTAACCCTTTAAACTAATGTTTATTGCATTTTTTAAATTTCATGTGTTACCATGATGGTGTTTAATGTTTGTGCGAATGATACTGTGCAGTTTCTGTATATTAGTATTACAGTTTCTGTATATTAGTATTACTGTAACTCTTTAGTGGCAGAGCTGCTTGTGATGAGCCAACCTGCTCTCAAGGCAATTCGTATGAATTCATACGGTTTTTGCTAATTCGTACATATTTTTCAAGTTACCAAATTCGTATGAAATCGTACGAATGACCTATGCCTGACCCCGCCCCTAAACCTACCCTTCACGTTGGTTTAGACAAATCGTACGAACTCGTACGAGTGAGGTCGTACGAATTAGCCACCTTTTAATCTCTTGTACGAATTGGTCGTGAGATAGCGCTGAATGAGCTTTGAATGATCATGTGACTCTCATCACCACTGTGGTTGTTGGTTGACAGTGTATTACAATGGTACAAAACAGATATTAATACTTCAATAGGTCAGTAAATTAACATTATATCAGATAATGAAAGATATTTTTGTGTAGAATAACAGTAATAAACCATAATTATAGGATAAGAAATTAC